AGATATTGAAGAAGAAATCCTGCTAGTGCGAGCTACAGAGGGAAGAGACCTAAATCTTCAAACTTTAGGATACTTGGTTGAGTCCAGAACTCTGCATATGCAGAAGTGAATGCAAAGATCTCAGTGGTAATTTAGAGAACAGTTGGCATAGTAAGTGTTGAGCAGGTATTTCTGCTGTCATCTTAAGGAGATCTGGGGAGGCAGAATTTGGACTTCAAATTTTTTCCAAATTAGAAGAGTTTGATAAACACTTTGGGCTTTCTATTTAAACCCTTTAAAGGTCATGTTAAGGATTAACAACCATGTTCAAAGGCAAAAGGTTACTTCCAGCTTGGAGAATAAAACTAAAATAAATTCACCTTTACAAAAGCTAGTACCTTGACTCAATAGGATTTAAGCAACCTGCCAGTGGCCTAACTACCAGATAAAATAAAATGGAATAGTCTTCAGAGGAATATAATAGAATCCAGCCTTTCTACAATATGTCATACACAATATCCAAAGTATAATCAAAATTACTAGATATGAAGAAGCAAAAATTATACATCTTATAGTCAAAAAAGAACATAGCAAATAGAAACAGAGACACACATAACCAGAATGTCAGAATTAGAAGACATAAGATAACTATTATGAATATGCTTAAGGATCTACAGGAAAAAAATGTATATAGAATAAATGAGAGATGATTTCAGAATAGATATATAAACTCTTAAAAATGAAATTATTAGAATGGAAAAAAATACATCTCAAACAAAATAATTATTTTGAATGAGGTTGTTTCACTTCCAGTATCACAAAGTAAGAATCTAATAGGCCCAAACCTTCCATCTACAACAATTGAAAATTGTATACAATACAAAAGTGATCTGAAGAAGTGGGGAGTGGGGAAAAGTGGGAAAATACTGAAGGGAGCCCGACTTGGAAGCCGAGATGGCCATATGAGTTTTCAATGAAAACTTTTAGTTGCATACAGGACAAAGCCATTGCCACAAAGAACATCAAACATTCTAATAAAAGTACTTGTAGTCTTTCTTGAATGAAAAATCAAAAGACAAGATTCAGATAAACCACAGCGTATAATCACAAAAGGAGAAAAGAATCTCAAATTCTGTGTTTGTACTCTGCACAAGTTTATGACTAAATTCTAAGGTAGAATATATGAGATCAATTGGAGGTAGCTCAGACAAAGGTAAGAAAATTTAACTGAGATAACATATGAAAGAGAGAGTTTTTAGTTTAAAGCCATACAAGTTAACTGCCTGCTTTAAAATACTGTGAATATTCTGGAGAAATATGACAAAATTCTGAACTACAGCATAACACTGAAATATCCAGGTTATATTCCAAAATTACTTCATACTGTTTGTCAGGCCAGTCAATGAAAATTAGCATCAAAACAACCTGTTAGAAGTGTTAGGATTGCCAATAAGGATGGATTTTAAAGCAGCTACTCTAAATATGCAAGAGCATGAAGAAAAGTATGCATATGAAATCAATAAAGAGATAGAAGTCCCAGCAAAACAATAAATACTATAAAATTAAGACAAAAGCAGAAGTCAAAGAAGTAGCAAATAGACACATAAAGAAAATTAAACAAGCCAAAATTTTCTGCTTTGAAAAGATGTACCTGGCTAGGCTAACGCAAAATGCAAAATACAACTTGTTCCTATCAGAAATGAAAGATAGGATAGCTCTACAGACCACACAGATAGATAACAATAGAATACTCTGAACACATTTTGTAAACACATTTGAAACAACTTTTTTGCCAGCAAATTTAAAAATAAATTCCTTGGAACAAAACAAGTTATAAAAATAACACAATGGAAAATAGGATCAAGATGGCCCACTGGCCACAGGTAGTATGTGTGCCTCCATGGATTCTCAGATTTTTAACAGATCATCTAGGAGAGAATGCTAGGATTCACCAGGTAAGTGATGGGAGACACCAAAGTGGGTAAAGGGAGGATTCAGGGCAACTTGCTGGACCAAAGACTAGTTAACAGCTGGAAGAAATTCCTGGATGTGGAGAAACAGGACTCCATTCTCTGAGATGAGGTTTTACAATTTGGCTACAAGAGAAACCCTTGACCCACACAAGTCCTGGGCCTAACATATGGAGCTGCCTGGAAACGGCACTGAGAAGTTACTCCAGAATCTACACAGAATCCCACAGGTGTCTAAGCATAAGCAGCTTGAGTCAGGTATTCTGAGAGCCTAGATACCAAAAACCATGGGCATGTGTACAGCTGCAGTGCATTTTGAGGAAGTATAGAAACCAGGTGCTCTGCTGAGAAGGTCCTCACTGCCCTGCTGTGGGCTACTGTTGAGATTGAGACATAGGCAGACAGCATTTTCTATAGCAGTCATCCATGCTGCACACCTGGGCGGGACCACGGCCTTTCAGGTCTCAAATCCAAGGCACCATGTTGAGAGATTGACTTTGAGCTGTGCTCCACCCTTGGGCTGAGTTTAGGCTGATGTGGCTTGAAAGAAGAAGAAGACCTCAAAATAATAAAAGCCATATATGACAACCCATAGATGTTGTAACAAACTAATAGGGACTTTAAAATGACTATGATTAATATGTTAAAATCTCTAATGGAAAATGTATGCAATGTGCCAGACCACATGGATAACTTCAGCAGAGAGATGAAAACTATAAAAAATCAAACAAAAATGATAGAAATGAAATATTCTATCTAATGGTATGTTTGTACCCATTAACCATATGTATACCTAAGTGTTGATCAACCAATTCCAATTTGGTATTGAGTGCTAAGTAGTATGTGGTGGCTGTTTTTCCATTCTTAGGATACTTCACTTAGGAGAGTAGTCTCCAGTTCCACCCAGGTTGTTCCAAAAGGCACTAAATCACCATTTTTATAGCTGAGTAGTACTCCATGGTATACATATACCACTTCTTTATTAATCCATGCATGTATTGACGGGCACTTGGGTTGTTTCCGCATCTTTGCAATCATGAATTGTGCTGCTACAAACACTCAAGTCCAAGTGTTGTTTTTATAGAATGTCTTTTTCCCTTTGAATAAATACCTAGTAGTGGGATTGCTGAAGCAAATGGTAGGTCTACTTTTAGTTCTTTGAGGTATCTCCATACTACTTTCCATAGAGCTTGTACTAGTTTGCAGTCCCTGATCTAATTAAAAAGCTCCTGCATAGCCAAGGACATATCAATAGGGCAAATAGACAACCTACAAAAGGGGAAAAAGTATTTGCATTCTATATACCCAATAAAGGGCTGATAACAAGGATCTACAAAGAACTCTAGCAAATCAGCAAGAAAGATCAAACAACCCCATTAAAAAGTGGGCAAAAGACATGAACAGAAACTTTTCAAATGAAGATAAGACTAATGGCCAACAAACAAATGAAAAAATGCCCAATGTCTATAATCTTCAGGGAAAGTCAAATAAAAAATCACATTGAGACATCAGTTAATTCCAGTGATGATAGCTCATATCAAAAAGTCCCATGACAGCACACACCAGTATGGATCTCAAGAGAAAGAAACACTCAGACACTGTTGGTGGGCCTAGACTAGGCTGTCCACTATCTCCACTTCTATTCATCATAGTGCTGGAAGCAATTAGGCAAGAAGAGGAAATCAAGGATATCCAAATGGAGAAAGAAGAGGTCAAACTATCACTCTTTGTTGATGATGTAGTTTTTTTTTTTTTGAGACAGGAGCCTCAAGCTGTCCCCCTGGGTAGAGTGCCATGGCATCACACTCACAGCAACCTCCAACTCCTGGGCTCAAGCGAGTCTCCTGCCTCAGCCTCCCAAGTAGCTGGGACCATAGGCGCCCGCCACAACGCCTGGCCATTTTTTGGTTGCAGCCATCATTGTTGTTTGGCGGGCCTGGGCTGGGGATTCGAACCCGTCACCTTAGGTGTATGTGGCTGGCGCCTTAGCTGCTTGAGCCACAGGCGCCGAGCCGATGATGTAGTTTTATATGTATAAAACCCTAAAGATTTAACCAAGAGACTCCTGGAATTTATAAATAAATTCAGTCAAGTCTCAGGTTACAAAATCAATATACACAAATCAGTAGCTTTTATATACAACAACAGTGAAGCTAAGAATCAAATCAAAGACACAATATCTTTTACAGTAGCAGCAAAGGAAATAAAATACCTAGGATTATACCGAAGTAAGGAGGTGAAAGACCTCTAAAGGAAAAATTATGAACACTGAGCAAAGAAATCACAGAGGATATAAACAGATGGAAAAAAAATCATGCTCATGGATTGGCAGGATCAACATTATTACAATGTCTATAGCACACAAAGTAATTTATAGATTCAATGCAATCCCCATTAAAATGCTAATGCTATTTTTGCAGAGCTAGATAAAATAATTCTATGCTTCATGTAGAATCAGAAAAGACCCCAAATAGCCAGCACAACCTTCCATAATAAGAACAAATGTGGAGGCATCACTTTACTAGATTTCAAGCTATACTACAGGGCTACAGCAACCAAAACCATGCATAACGCTGTCACAAAAATACAGACATGGAGGGCGATGCCTGTGGCTCAAAGGAGTAGAGCGTCGGCCCCATATGCCAGAGGTGGTAGGTTCAAACCCAGCCCCAGCCAAAAAAAAACCTGCAAAAAAGAAAAAATATGGACATGGACCTATGGATCGGAACAAGGAACCCAGATATGAAATCATCCTCATATTCCCATCTGATCTTTGACAAAGCAGTCAAACCATACACATGGAAAAAGAATCTCTATTCAATATATGGTACTGGGAATACTGGATTGTAAAGGACTAAAATAGGACCTGCACCTCTCACCACTCACAAAAATTAATTCATGATGGATAACAGACTTAAACCTAAGACATGAAACTATAAGAATTCTAGAAGAAAATGTTGGAAAAACTCTTACATATATTGGTCTAGGGAAAGAATTTATGAAGACCCCAACAGCAATCACAGCAACAACAAAAATAAATGCTTTAAAATTTTAAAGTAATAATAAAAAGCAAAACATTAAAAGTTATTTCTTATCAGTATATAAATTATACAACTATATCCATGAAGATAGCACCACTATTCCTCTCACCTATTGGAAGATTATGGAATTTTAATTAATTGTTTTTCTTTGGTGTTAAATAGAAATAGTTTTAGTTTTGCACCACCAGAAAGGTCAGCAAACTCAAGAAACATGTATCATTTAAATCCTCATTGACATTTAATTGCAATTAATATAAAAGTTCATTCATGTTTAAACATAACAAACTAGCCTTTATCATCTAGGCTTATGTCAGTTTACTAAGTCAATATTTTGAATCTATACAATTTTACTGAAGTAGAAAATGTAGAGTTCTCTTTGAAATATCTACTTAACTATTTGCTCATCATCAGGTATATGTGTGGCCATACGCCTTCTTTCCGCCATCCCAGACTGAAAAAGAATAGAAATGAAGAAACAAAGATTGTTTTAAATTACTTACTATATAATTTAGGTCAATAAGGGAGTCTAATATAGACATTTCCCCAAGTTTAGCTTTTAATTCACATTATTGTCCTGCTTTAAACTGGGGTTGTCTTGCTAGACAGGCTTCTATATAATGAATAATATACAATGTTCAGCTTAGAATGTACAGTAATACATTTAAACATAAGTACACAGAAAGCATCTTAACCAAGTTAAACTCCCTATCAAAGTCAAAGGGACTAAGAGCATTCTTCTAAGGGATATATAGACATGAGGAAGGGAAGTAGAAAATTTTGTTTTAAAAATGCCTAAAAGAAAACATAAAGACTCTTTTAGGTACTTACCTTTCGAGAGTAAGGCTTGGGCATTAGGGTGTTCCCACAGAAGAATTAGGACAGCAGAGCTTCTAAAATCTAAACAAGTCCCTTAGACACTAAACTAAAATAACGATACTTCTCATTTATGAAGTACCTATTATGCACCTAGCATTGTACTGAGTGCCAAAGTGCTTCTTTTTGTCCTGAGAGTTGATCTGAAAAAAAAATATTTTTATTGCCAGGTGAAAATTTTCAGATTTAGAAAACTCAAGTAATTTACTTTCCCAGAGTTACAGCTATACAGAAGACACAGATCTGAACTGACTCCAAATTAAATGATCTCTCTACTGGCCCCAATTTTAGACCAAATAAATATGCACTGTGTTTGTAACAGTTGGGAACAAGGGAGGAGAGGTACAAGAGAGCATGCTGTGCTGATTTCTAAACAGAACTGCCTGAGAAGGCCATGCTACCCTACTTTTGAGCCCACGGGAAGATACTAACGATATGAGGCATGTTTTAAATGGAAATATTATAGATGGGATAAAGCCAAAAAGTAAAGCAAACTGAATCAAAGATGGCTCTCTGCCATAATCTCTTCACTTGCTCTATTCTGGGTATTATTCCACTGTAGTATATAAATTTCTATAATTTTCCCTACTATGTAGTAGGATTTTCTAATATAGTGTTCGCTTCTGTGAAATGGTTTACTCCGAACTATTCTATATGAAGATTTTTTTTTATTTATTTAGCAGAAACTTAATGGTGGACATTGCAGTGATTTCTAGTCTTTGGTTATAGTCAACAATGAACATTTCAACCACTGAGGATGGGTTGCTTCTAAATCTCCTTTTCTTTCTCAGCTTTAAAATAAATTACTACAAATCCAAGAGTTTCAATCTCTGTAGAAAGGCTGACTTCTTGGCAAGTGCTCAAAAGATGATTTGAAAACTAGAGACACAAGTTATCTTGTATCTAAAATCCTGAACAACAATTTCTTAAACAAATAGGGGTTTGTTTCTCTCCCTTAAGTCTACAGCAGAAATTCTTTTTTTTTTTTTAAAGGGGCGGTCTTTTATTTTATTTTATTTTATTTTATTTTATTTTTATATTGTTGGGGATTCATTGAGGGTACAAAGAACCAGTTTACACTGCTTGCATTTGTTAGGTAAAGACCCTCTTATAATTGTGTCCTGCCCCCAAGAGGTGTGTCACTAGAGCAGAAATTCTTGAAGTATGGTCCCTGGGCCCCCAAGAATCTTTCAAGCAGCCCATTGGTTCATTTTTTTCTAAATAATACTAGAATTTAATTTGCCTTTTCCACTGTGTTGATATTCCTACTGTCAGTTCAAAAGCAATGGTTGGTAAAATCACTGTAACTATTAGCTCGTGAGTTGTTGGCTCCTGCTTTGGGTTTCTGTTTTTGTGATATTTGGGACATTATATCCTGGACTGCTGTACATGAACCTTTTTTGATTCATTTCTTCCAAAATCACTCACCAGGACTGATTATACTATTCCCCATTCTGTAGCAGATAGCAATAGCAAGATACAGCCCCTGCCTCTAAAGAACTTGCTTATTCACAGGAATAAGATAAGAGACTTCCAGGATTTTTGACAGAAAAACACTTTTTCACACTTAATTTTACAGCTCCTTACCCCTACCCTGTAGGTATATTCCCAAGTTTTGTAGGTGCTCAAGTCACCTGGAGTCCATTTTTTGGCTTCTACCGTGGCATGACACTTCTGGACCAAAAGACTGAGTCTCTACTCCATCCTCCTTTAAGAACCATGAGTTATCCCAGGGTTTTTTTTTTTTTTTTTTTTTTTTTAAAAAAAAAAACAGGACTAGGATCAGTGCCTGTAACTCAGCGGTTAGGACACCAGCACATACACCAGAGTTGGCGGGTTCAAATCCAGCCCAGGCCTGCCAAACAAAATGCCAACTACAACCAAAAAATAGCTGGGCGTTGTGGCGGGTGCCTTTAGTCCCAGCTACTTGGGAGGCTGAGGCAAGAGAGTCGCTTAAGCCTAAGAGTTGGAGGTTGCTGTGAGCTGTGTTGTCCTTTCTACTGCGGGCAACATATGAGACTCTGTCTCAAATAAATAAATTAATTAATAACTAGGACTGGCTCTGTAGATGCAGCAGAAGGGGAAGCAAGAGAGATTCAGAGCATGGAAAGGACTTACCCTGCCATGGCTGGAGGGGGCAGAGTCACATGGAAAACAGGTGAAGGAATGTAGGCAGGCCCAAGGAGCAAAGAATTACTCGTGATGACAGGCAGCAAGGAAGGGCGACCTCAGTCATACAACGGACAAGAGACTCAATTCAGTCAACAAACTGAATGAGACTGGAAGTAGACTCATCTCCAAAGCCTGCAGTATGAAATATAGTTCTGCTAACATTTTAATTGGGGCCTTGCAAGATTCAAAAGACACAACTGGATTCCACCATATCTGGATTTTTTACTTACAGAACTACTACGCTGATAGTTGTAACCCACAAGGAACCTGCCAAACATCTACTCACTTTGGATCCTAACAGCAAATTAAATGCAGGCCAGAGATTACTATGGTAATTATGCCAGAAAGAAACAGTTAGAAAAATGAGAAAATCTGAAATGGAATACAGCCATCCCTCTGTATCCATGGGGGAATGATTCTAGGGCCCCCTCAAATGTCAAAATCCATGAATGCTCAAGTCCTTTTTATGAAATGGTATATTATTTGCATGTAACCTGCATACATTCTTCTGTCTTCTAGTTCAAATCATTTCTAGATTACTTACAGCACCTTATACCACGTAAATGGTATGTATACATCGCATTTATACAGTTCTTATACTGTATGTCTCATTTGGAGAATAATCACAAGAGAAAAAGTCTGTACTTGTTTGGTACAGATGCAACAATCTATTTTTTTCAAGTATTTCTGGTCGGTAGTTGGTTTAATCCATGGATGCAGAATCCACAAAAATAGAGGGCAAACGGTATATCCTTTCACTAAAATTTATTCCTGAAGATAAAAAGTGAAGCTAAGGCTGCAACCAAAGTAAGTTTGTTTGGCTCTTAATAAGTCAACATATACTACCAATACTGTTCAGTCATTTTTGTTCTCAGGAGTCATTGCAAATTTTGAAGTAACTGACAAATTTGCTATTATGAATAATCTGTATGGAACAACTTTAGACAAGACTATTTTTTAAGAAGTTGAGAAAATTCCAATTTGGTACAACCTTAACTTAGTCTGTTTTGCATTGCCATAACAGAATGTCACAGACAGGGTAATTTTCACAGGAAAGAATCTTATTTTGGCTCATGGTTCTGGGCTGGGAAGTCCAGGGACATGGTGGCAGCTTCTAGTTAGAGCTTTCATACTGCTTCAAAATGAGGCAAAAGCAAAGCAAAAGGGCAAGAGAGTGCACATGTGAAAGAGACCACAAAAATTGAGCCAACCTCACTTTTATAATAACCTGCGTTCATGAGAACTACTTCATTCCTAAGGGAACTCACTCCCTCTATACCAGCATTAATCCATACTTGAGAGTTCCACCCTCATGACCCCATCATCTCTTAAAGACCCCATCTCCCAACATGCTCTATTGGCAAATAAGGTTCCAACACATGAATTTTGGTGTGACACTTCCAAATCATAGAGAATTTGCCAAGTGGATACTTCATGGAAAATATTTGGATCTACCATGGGTTATTGAACCAGTAGTGCCAACAGTGAACTTTATTTGCTCTCATGGCCTTGACCACTGTCAGTTTCATAAACTTTGTCAGAAATAGAAGGTAAATATCCTGACTTGCCCTATCACATAGTAGTTTGATGGCTTGACAGTGATAAAGTTTTATTAAGTTTTTGTTGTTGTTGTTGTTCATCTCAGGGATAAAGTGAATGGAAAAAACTTTAACAGCATTTTTTTCCTCTTGTCTTTCTCTTTTAACAATTTTTCTTTAGTATTCACTATTTAGAAGCACAGCTACTCAAGGACACCAGGTGGCCCAAATGCTGTAAATAGCTACATAACCTCCTGCAGGATGCCAGAAGTCCAGTGCAGACCAGAGCAGGCCACTCCAGCTACCTTTAGCTCACATCATTATAAAACCAAAAATCATTCCCCCAAGTGAGAATCACCACTGTTCTCTGTACAGAAATATATAAAGAAGCATGTACAGAAACTACATCTGCCTGTCTGAAATTTCACTCTGTTCATGCTTACGCACCTCATCTGTCTGGTATCTAACTTTAAAATTCCCACATCTCCTTTTGCTCAGAGAGAAAGTGCCTTTAGAACACAAGTTTTCCTTCTCTATTCTTCAGCCAAAGAATTAAAATCCTGAATGCCTTACTAGTTGGGTGTTCTTTCTTTGCAGCTGATATAAAGTAAGGAAAGAACACAGGTTTTTTTTTGGTAATAGACCCCACCTCAACCACTTACCAAACATTGATTGGCTTGGGAAATGAACTTTTGCTGCCAACTTGATAATGTTTCTTAATGAATTCAAACTAAAATTACAAGGCAAAACTGTTCTTATACACCATAACTTATGCTACAGTAAAGTCATTTTTTCCATGACAACTAACATTGTTTGAATCACAAGTTATATCAGGCTGCTTTATATATTTTCAGTGCTGTCA